ACTTCAAAATATATCAGCGGGTAAAACCGCTGGGCGGAAAGCTTGTTACTAAATATCAGGCAGGATATTGTAGCATGGTCTACTCACACAGCGAGTGACTCTTAATCCCCAACTTCACTACTCACTTTATACTTTCTAATTTGTGAGTTTTCAGCAAAAACTGCCATGTTGTGCTACGTTTTTCTCGCAAACTATTGGATTATGAAAAAGTTATTGATAACATTCATATGCAGAAATTTACGCTTAACATATCTTCCATACAATAGTTATTTGTAGCTCTTATCATTTTTGAATTATTACAAAATAACAAAATTTAGCCCAGTGAAATTTTTTTAAACGGTTGCCATTTTTTTTTGTATGTAGGCCAGCAAAACCCCGGTTCGGCATAGGTAAAGAATAGCCTAAAGATTAGTTTCCAAAGCGGAACCGACCTGGAACACGCACGGGAACTCCCAAAATTTTTTTGTATAGAAATTCTAACCTACTAAGAGCCTTTATGAACGATGGGCCAACTGTTTTTTCATATAGGTACCCAATTATACAACAATCTCTTTGCACAGTGGGAAAGAATATACAACTAAAGCTACTAGCTAGAATGGTTTCTATTCTTAAATTTAATGAAGAATAATACCTTAATCCGCAAATCCTACTATAAAACACTGCTTAAACTGCTATTTTCGTATTGTCTTTAGGAGTATGCGGTCGGTACAGGTGCTTCGCAAGTCTAGCTCAGAGCGACGACGGTTCCTGTGGTACTCGTTGTACGCTTGGGGCATTACCATACTGCTGACGCTCATAATGTTCTTACTGGACACCTACCACGTGTCAGATCTGCTGGATGCCAACATGGGAAAGACCTTCTGTTGGTTTAATACTGGTAAGTTTTGAATTTTACAAATTAAACACCGAGAGTGGTACCTTTTCTTTCATAATACATGCTCGACTTTCTGCCCATTTTTAAATGCTAAACTAAATACGTCAAAATATTTGTGACTTATATTCATAGAACGATGTAAGCAACAGAGTCTTTTAGCCAGATGTAGTTTAGATTCAAATGGTATTCTTCATATTAGTTTCAGTAAAGCTACAATAAAAACAAAACAAAATTCGTAGAAATATTGCTACGGCTTAGCAGTTTTATGAAATCGCTTCCAATATTATTATTATTAGGTCATACGCAATGCGGATAACAAACAACAAATCCTAAGTCAATGATATCAGCATAAGTAATGGTGATGGTATTAAAAATAAATATCACTTATTCCAGTGTTAATGGTACAGCGTAGATGGATAAATTGCTTAGTTCATCACAAGATGGATCTTTAAAAGAAAATCTATCGAATCATTTCTATAGAAATTACGTAATCAATCATTTTTGGCTAACTGCTTTAATATGCATTTCGATGAAAATTCTGAGGGAGATTAATGATTGTTATATTTTATGTTGGTAGAGCGAAGACAGCTAATATTAATGAAAGAATTTTGAACCACAGAACAAAATAAGAAGAACGATTGGCCTCACTACATTTTCTTCGTGGTACCGCTGGGCATCGTGACCAGCGTGAACTTGTTGCTATGGGTGCTGACTGCAAGGCACTGCTCCCGAGTCAAGTCAGAAGTGCACCGCCTTCAAGCTGGCTCGGTGGGTGACCGCGCTAAGAAACGCTTCAGGCTTGATAGAGCCAAGTAAGTATAGTATAAGGTGAACTTATTGCTATGGGTGCTGACTGCAAGGCACTGCTCCCGAGTCAAGTCAGAAGTGCACCGTCTGCAAGCCGGCTCGGTGGGCGACCGCGCCAAGAAACGCTTCAGGCTTGATAGAGCCAAGTAAGTGTATAAGATAAACTTATTGCTATGGGTGCTGTCTGCAAGGCACTGCTCTAGAGTCAAGTCAGAAGTGCACCGTCTGCAAGCCGGCTCGGTGGGCGACCGCGCTAAGAAACGCTTCAGGCTTGATAGAACCAAGGAAGCATATACCTAAGGTGTACTTATTGCTATGGGTGCTGACTGCAAGGCACTGCTCCCGAGTCAAGTCAGAAGTGCACCGTCTGCAAGCCGGCTCGGTGGGCGACCGCGCTAAGAAACGCTTCAGGCTTGATAGAGCCAAGTAAGTATCAATATGAACTTATTACTATGGGCGCGGACTGCAAGGCACTGCTCCCTAGTCAAGTCAGAAGTGCATCGTCTTCAAGCAGGCTCGGTGGGCGACCGCGCTAAGAAACGCTTCAGGCTTGATAGAGCCAAGTAAGTTTATAAGGTGTAAACCTATTGCTATGGGTGCTGACTGCAAGGCACTGCTCCAGAGTCAAGTCAGAAGTGCACCGTCTGCAAGCCGGATCGGTGGGTGACCGCACTAAGAAACGCTTCAGGCTTGATAGAGCCAAGTAAGTACATAAGATGTTAAAAGTATTGCTATAAATATTTAATAGGGAACGCTCATAATTCGATACCCTCGGGTAACCCACAAATTAACCAAAAAATTGCCATTTTCATCGGATATCTAGGTATGCTACTCCTACAGTGTCCTACGCGATAGAAAAAGAAAGAGAAGCATAGTATGTATGTACTCATTACGTTTCTAGCTTCAAAGGTGTTGCATAGTTTGAAACTTTTGAAAAAGACTGTCAGTAGGTTCATCACGAAACATTGCATACCTAAGTTACATACAAAAACAAATGCTTGATTGTTATTCCAGGTACTTATTAACCGGCAAGTTATGGGTGGTCATGGGCGCTGGATGGATATCGGAACTGCTGTCCACCGTGTTCCACGAGCCGCCATGGTTGTGGTCGATCGTCGACCTTATCAACCAGCTGCAAGGAGTATTCATATTCCTGCTCCTCGTTTTCAAACCTAAAGTCTACTTTCTGATCAAGAAGAGGCTGGGTAAGAGAATTTTTGTTTTTTCTTCTATTATGGTAGGCGCACATTAAACATGATGTTTAGTTCAAGTTGGCATCGCCTCAATTCGCAGTTTCGGGATATCTGTAGGTACTTCAGATTAATAGTGCGTAGCGCGAGGACCCCGTACCAACTTTAATTTATTTTACTCTTCTCAACTTTTTCAAAAACGATTAGAGTTCTTTTTATGTTATACCTGCCTTTGTTATCCTTATGAATAGTCAGTTTCAGTTTAGTCTTTCATACTAATTACTGACCTAAGTTTTTGTTGCAATATTTACCAAGCTGTGATCTAAACAAATTAGTTCATTTCTTTATGTTTAGTAGAATTTGTTTTTCAGTGCAATTTATGCCTATTTTCAGGTTGTGGTCCCCCAACGAAAAACTCAAGTATATACTAAGATATTTAACTCTACTATATAGATATTTAACTCTTCTATATTTTCTATTTGTAGTGTGGAATTGATCTCAAACACATGCGATTAGGGTTTGTGCACGTTTAGTGTCTAAAGACTACAAGCACTTCGAAGCCGGAACTGGGGGTTTCGAGGCAAATGTTTTTTTGTCTACAAATAAATCTTTAACTTAACTTAGTTCGGTACAATTGAAAAGTGCGCATGTCTTTGGAGGATAAATGTGCGTTGAGCCTAATGGGATAAACTCTTTTTCTATCTCTAATTAATGCTACTTTTATCGTGGCTTTTCTCTGCTTAATGTAATACCGCTGTTTTATTTAACAGCTAATTAACCGTTGTTGTAGATGTTTATGCTAGACTGTGATACTAATGACAATGACATGATTTATCAAAAAGCACTTATTGCACTATAGATTACACTGTACTACTAACTTTAGCACTTACGTACACTTATATTACATCAAGGCTGGTTGGTTATTACACTATGAAATTACAATCGTAATTTGAAAAGAATCATATGAATATTAAGAAGTTCCTTTGAATTTATCCGTCTACTTTTTGTTTATTCTCTAAATCATTTAGCTATTTAATTTAATAGATTTATTACAATATTGCCCATGACATGACTTCCAAGAATGTAGTAGAGTTAACAAAGTCATGTAACTTCCGTAAGATGGTTCATAGTCATAGGTACCTACTCTTGCTCTTGACCCCACCTTGAATGAAGTAGGAAAAGATAGTGGTAGCTTGTAGTGGATGGTATTAAGTAGAATAACCCAAAAGTATAATGAAGGAAATCCAAAGGGCCCGATTTAATAGCATCCAATCTGGATATCACGTAGAGTTACGTACACGTACGAGGTCGTTCGTATTACCTACGGCACGTGCGAGTGTGGCACCCTATACCTAAACGTTGTCACACAAAAATGTTATATCTGGCTTTGCCATACATAATTGGAAATCGCTCCCCTGACAAGAGCGTAGCTCTCAAGTTTTATGAAGACGTTTCGTCTATAAAATTGTATGCAGGAAGGACATTATAGAGCCAACCTGAGCCAACTCAAGAAAGTGGGCTCCAATTCTATTTTCGTATTGTTGGTATTTTTTATTGATTTGACTTTAACCGCTGTTCAAAAGGGCCTGATAGATTTATAGTTTTTTTTACAAATGCCTGGGTATTGGTGTAAACGCACGTGCTTCCTTCCTAGCTTTCACAAGTGTGACAATATTAACGAATGACTAATCATCTAACAGGGTTGGCCAAGACGGACGCGCAGAAGAACGGAGCCTCATCAGGCCGCACGTCCTCCACTTTCCTCTCAAGAACCATCAGCAGCGATGAGCGGACAACCCTGAAAGCTACTCTGCCTGATACGGATGTCAAACGGGCCTGAACACAACAGGTCCCAGTAAGGAGTAAAATTTGCTGGTGGATAGGAGCGGGCGTAGGGTTAAGAACAATCGCATCAGCATCTTTTACTCGTCTTGGAATCTACTTGAACAGCAAATTAACAGTAATGCGACCTCAAGCTTCATTGCCTCTGCGCTGGTCCTCTAAATATAACATTTGCAGTGTGACTTGTGCTCATCCAGCGCCGACATTATGCAATCTATTGGGATTGTAATGCACTCACAGTGCTATATTATTCTCACAAGTGAAAATAAGAAATAGAAAAGATGACGTACATCGACCGAGGATCGAACCCGGGCCGCATGGGTAAACGCCCCACCGCTCTGCCACTGAGCTATCGATGCACGGCCGATGGAGTAAGTTCTAAATACTTACTATAGATGTCGCTGGATCGTCGCTTGGAGACGAGCATCAAGAGATAGAAAATTTGGCGTCCATCGGCCGTGCATCGATAGCTCAGTGGCAGAGCGGTGGGGCGTTTACCCATGCGGCCCGGGTTCGATCCCCGGTCGATGTACGTCATCTTTTCTATTTATTATTTTCACTTGCGACATTATGCACTTCAGGATCTTTTAAACCAATCCTTGTTTTTGTATGTCATTTACCTACTCATAAGAGCATAGTGTTATTTTATTAGTCAACTGTGTTTTTATCGACAATCACGTACTTACTACTTACCTAGTGCAAGTTACTAGCCATTGTTACTTATGATTTACTAGCTGCCCGTCAGCGGTTTCACCCGCTGCAACCTATTATTCCGCGGGAAAAAAGCATTATTCGCCGAGAGATGTCGCTGTTAGTTTTTGGCGAAGACGTTTAAAACGCGAATAGGCTCAGTCACGCCACCTGTTTCAAAAATATTGGAAAATGCGTGATCCCGTGGGAATGAGACATTTTTCCGTGGTAAAAAGTATCCTATGTGTTATTCCAGATGCCCTTTTATATTTCTGCAAAGTTTCATGTCAATCTAATCAGCCAGTTTTGCGTGATGTCGTAACAAACACACACACAAACATCCGCCTTTATAATATTAGTAAGATAAGATAACTATAAACTTAGTCATGCTTTAAAGTATATCTTTACTAATTTTTTGATTGAATGTGCTTCTAAATAACGAAATTGCAATTCTTGATGATTACCTCATTAAATTACTGTGGCCATAATATTCTCTAATTTACTTATGTAGCACTCTCTAGTCATAGAATAATATAAGTAGGTAGCTCTAGAAATATATGTTCAAGTATATAATTATCGGAATTACATTTGTTTTTGGGCTAAAAATATTTTTTAACCATTTCAAATTGTCTTGGTGAATATGAATGTCGCTTCGTTATTTTAATAGGATGTTTTAGCACCCACACTAAAAACGAGATATGACGCATCGTCAAACTAGTAATAATATTTCACATTTGTCAAAGTCACAAATATTCTTGTATTTGCTTATCTAGGTATGTAATACCGCTGCGAGTGGCCGCCTCAACTATAATTTCCAAACCTGCCTGTGAAATTTGCATTTTGGAAATTCGGTTCATACCTAACATGAAAGTATTCATATCTAACTTCAAAATTACGCTGCCCAGGTGTTATCATAATTATTTTATAAATTTTGCTAGCGATTTAAGATCTACTTTTTATTGTATTTAAGTTTTCAATATTAGGTATATTATAGGTACCTACTTAGCTATTAGTCATAAGAAGGATAGGACTTTGTATCCATTCCATTTCATTGATTTTATGATGTGTTGTGTTTAGATGTAAATATGTACGTAAATAATTGAAAGAAGAAGATCGAAGATATACTGTCTGAATGATATCGATTGGCTTTTTATATATGTTTGAAAGCTTGTTTACGAATAACTATTTCAAATTACAGGAAGTTTTAAGGAATTAGTACTTGCTTACTTAAGAGCTATGCAATTGTTTTGGTATTGTAATTGTAATAAGTTAAGTTCTATAAGAATTCAAATAAAACAAAAACATAAAATTCAATAATAATTTCATTATTTATTTTCTACATTTTAGTGGTGTTCACAAAATACTGCTGATGTATATAATAGTTTGGCTAGGTAACATCCAGTTGTGGTCCCTATTATTATTGCTTTAAAGAATCATGCCCACTCTAGTATGGATGTTCGTCTATTGCTTGCCTCACTACTTGCAGGCCTCGCCTCAAAGCCAAAGTTAAATAATTATAAAGTCTAATTATTGCTTAACATTTTGTAACTGAAAATAATTTAATTATGATAGGAGTTCTGAAGTTATTGAATGTTAAAGTTGGGTATCGGAAGAGACAAAAGTGCTGAAGTTTGGCTGTATATCGAGTATTTCGTTCTTAAATCGTTATCGTTAGCTATACCGAAGCAAACAGAGCAAAAAAGGTTCACACCCCAGTAAAATGTTTGGCAAAAATACCTAACGGTAAAACGACCTTTAAAAATTAAGTTAGTTTCCCTGTTTTGTACAACAATTGCCGTAGCTATTCTGCATTAGAATGAGGGATATTACATATTGCTTTAATTTTCATTTTGAGGCGAGACAATTTCGTAGACCAGAAATGGGCATTCTCCTTTTTTATTTGTGCGAAAATTTATTTCTCATTATACTCTTTCTTCACTTACTTTTGTGGACGGCATTTGTGGTCCTACGGTCCTACCTATCACAAGTAAAATATTGTACAGAACTCATTAGTCAATGAAAAATGGTTGCTAACTTTGATTGATTGCACATACTTATGTATATGCCATGGATACATAATAAATAAACCAGCCAGTCTACTCACTTAAGTACTACTTACAACATTAGAATTTGTACCACAAAATATTAAAAATATTACAATAATGCATAAAATGTAGGTTAATAACGACAATACTGATTTTTATATATAAGATAATTTTTAACAATAAAAATATTCATCTGTTATACCTAAATACGTAAGTACTAGAAACTTTAACAATGCTGCCATTCAGAATACTTCATTCATAATTCTTTAAGTATACTTACTAGAATATCACATGAATCATCAACTGTGTACCTAATTGATTACTATATTTCTGTTTATAACCGTACGTGGTAACTTAAATAACTATTCGAATGCAACAATTCACACTCGTATAAAAATATTCTTATAACCTATCTAATTATGTACAATGAATGCGAACCTACTGATTCGTGATTTATAAATAAGCTTATTTGACACTGGAAAATAGTTTCAATTATACAGTATGGCCATAGCTATAGTGCGCTTCCACCATCTTATATCATACGGAATGTTTTTGATATTGTATTTTATTTTTTCTTCGTTTCTTGTGAGCGGGCAGTGCGTCGTACGCATTGAAATGCATAGATGACGCCACTCGGAAGCGCGCCATGTGCGCATACCTGTAGCAGTTGTAGAAGTAGAAGCTGTATATTGGTCGGTAGACGTGGGGTCAAGTGCGGTGGTTGGGCTGCACGGTGATGGGCCCGGGGGTGCTGAATGCGGTGGGGGAGACGACCACGTCGTCGGACTCCGCGTCTCGGTCGGCGGCGTCTTCCTCGTTGATGATGGAAATGTCGCGGATGGAGGGCCTGTGCGATCGACGCCAACCTGCAATCATACCATTAACCCATAAGAGTCCATAAGACTTTTAAACGATATTGAAGTTCGACGATTGGTGATGTGGACATATTGCATACAAAGTGTTTATTCTATTTAGAGCTATGAGGATAAACATTATTTTTCCTTGCAAACATCTATAAATTGCAAGTAAGTGGGAATTACGTCTTAGTCAATATTGTTCGTGTGTTATAGTCAGTCTGACATATGCGAGCTGAATGATAAGCAAGGTCGAAGTTTATCTGGATGACATTCTGTTTAACTATGATAATGATAAATTAACCAACAAAACAAATTAGTCGTTAAAATGATTCCGACGGGAAAAGTGTTCCGTGGCGTTACATGTTTATTTCTGACTTTATTGATATGTGACCGTGGGATATCGAAAGAAATCTCAGATGATTCGAATGATATAAAACCTGAACCACCACAAGACACATTGAAATTAGACAGTGCATACAAAAATTTGGTGAACGAAATTGGTGTTACACCAGTTACATTTGTTGAAGTTGAAGCAAAGAATGACAAAGAAGAACAACCCGAAGAAGTGAGCTCGACTCGCAGTACGTCGAAGAAACATCGATTTTCCAGACAATCGGGACCAGGATATACATCACTGTATCCGCATCTGCCGTCTAACTACCAGTATCCTAATTACAATCCTACATATCCTGGACAGGCGCAGCCTTCTTATCCATCTCAAACCAATTCAAACTCTTACAATCCTAGTCAGCGTCCACCAGCTTACAACCCCAATAATCCGTCATACAGTCCAAATCAACAACCGTCTTATAATCCTGCTTATAATCCAAGTAAAAGTCCATACAATAATACCCAATCTAATTATCCTTCGTATAATCCGAGTCAGAGACCACCTGTAGCTAACAGTAACAATTCATATCCTCATTATCCTTTTTACGATCCTAGTAAACGGCCCCAGTCATATAATCCATCAAATCCAAGCGATAGACCTCCCTACAGGCCTCCATACAACAATTCCAACACACATGGCTATCCGTACAATAACCCAACTGTAAGACCGCGTTTCAGTCCAACTTCTAATAATACAAATCCCCATAATTATCCTTCAAAAAACCCCGGTTACAATCCATCTTCAAACCCTTCATATAACCCTAGCCAGAGACCTCCATATAACCCATCTTATCCTAACAGCTACCCGTCTAATAATAACTCTTCTCGTCCTAATAGTTACCCTTCATATAACCCTACACAAAGAACTCCAGTCAACCCATCGTATCCCAATAGTTACCCATCACATAACCCAAGCCAAAGACCCCCAGTGAATCCATCCTATCCTAATAGTTACCCAAATTCACAACCTAGCCCATATCAACCACGTAATCCTTCAGAGAGACCACCAACATACAATAGTTCCCAACAATACCCGTATAACCCCACACAGAACAGCTCTAACCCAAATAGTTACCCACCTAATAACCCCAGTCAAAATCCATCACCGTACCCGAATAACCCATATCCATCATCTGGTGGAGTCGGTCCATACGGCAATTCCAACAACAATCATTCGCCTTATCCTGGAGATCTCACACAGTTTAATGGGCCAAGTCATCCCACTCCTCAACCCAGTGCCCCCTACAACCCTCATGGAGCAAACCTAGCTCCTTTTCCTTCAGATCAGAAAGGATCTCCTAATCCGTACGCGCAAAACTTAGCACCATTCCCCTCTGACCAAAATCACTTAAACTATCCTAGTAAGTCTGGTCAACC